TATCTAGTTCATTATTAGATGGACTAGCCACTACATTTTTTTTTTTTAATGTTATTACATGTTAATTGCAATGAAAATCTCCAATTACTATTCATTTTCGCACTAATGTCCTAACTTTTTTTTTTTTTTTTTTATAACCTTTTTTTTCCACGACCTTGTACTATCAGAAAATTTCGGAATTCATAAGAAGTTTCGCCTCTCATATTTTTATTTAAACAAAATAAATAATAAACATAAAAGTTTGACAAAATATTTGCCCTTCATTTTAATGCTAGAAGAGATGGGAAAATTAAGTTAATGATAAAAATGCGAGAAAAAAAGTATTTTTTTTTTTTATGTTATTACATGTTAATTGCAATGAAAATCTCCAATTACTATTATTTTCGCACTTATGTCCTAACTTTTTTTTTATAACCTTTTTTTTCCACGACCTTGTACTATCAGAAAATTTCGGAATTCATAAGAAGAAGTTTCGCCTCTCATATTTTATTTAAACAAAATAAATAAAAACATAAAAGTTTGACAAAATATTTGCCCTTCATTTTAATGCTAGACGAGATGGGAAAATTAAGTTGATGATAAAAATGCGAGAAAAAAAGTTGAGGACATAAGCACATAAGAAAGGTTGGAAACTTTTATTGCAATTCAAACGTGGAGTGGATAATAAAAAACTTAGTGTGAATATAATTACCGTGTAGAAAAACCTAAAAGCGAATAAAAAGAGTGAACTATCCTTTATATCTAAGCTCTCGTCAAGCTCACAAGGTTAAACATTGAGTATTCACTAAAAATACCAAAAATGAATACGTATGCAACTTAGCAGTATCAAATCAGATTTGAAATATGACAGTCGTCTCCTCGTTATACACTATGCATTTCATTTGTACCTCCACAATGTAAGACTTGCTCTACCCTCTTATCAGTTAGTCACTAGGTACTTTCTCTCTATAATACACACAAGTCCAACTTATCCCCGTATATACACATACTCCAGACATAAGCTTAGCAACACCAAACAAGTCCAAGAGAGGAAAGGGCTCACCAGTGAAGCTTATGTGCCAATAAACCATGGAAGCATAGCAGAAACAACCCAAATATACAGATAGCTCAACACCACTACCAGATAGATCCCTAACAGTGATCGCGCTAACCACGTGAATTTTTGTTAATATTAAAGAGGGCAAAAAGAAAGAATCAAAAGAACATAAAACAACTAGCACGAGAACTACGGCATTTACAAAGGGAAGGACTGGCTTATTATGGCCAACCTTAGAGCAACATACAAGAATCGAATCTCAATTATAAGCTCAGAATAGGGAAGGTAATGAAATAAAAATACAAGAAGAATGCTAGAGTTACTGCTGAAAAAATCTAGAGAATAAAATCCAATATACAGTCAAAATCGATTTTAAAGAAGGACAAAAACTCTACACGGAAATGAAGGATAAAAACTCTAAAAATTTTAGCAAACTATTAATGTAACCCATTCTCTGCCATACCTTTCTCATCTGAGAAAACTGAACTGGTACTTTTCTGCAAATCTTATCATGATTATGTGAACTTCAGGGAGACTTACAAGATACATCTTCATATTTTCAGTCTGTAAACACTGTAAATATCAAATTATGATGCTTGCTCATGGTTCTTGGTTCAGCTTTTCTTCTGTTCATGCATCTGGAAAAGTTATCATCGAAGAATTATGTGACCACAGAAGAAAAAAGAGAGATTTTCAATGTCAGGTAAGTCGATAAGAAGTACATAAAAGAATTATATAGATGATTAATCTGATATGGATTAAGTGCCGACCCGAGTTTAGGAGAGTTTTAGTTGTACACATCCGCTCACTGTTACAGGTTTTCACTATGAAAATGAATATAGCAATGGCGATCTCATGCATCTCGGTTTGTATCTCATACAAAACAGCCCCCTAAAAATCCTTTATAGATCATAGAAATATTAGGGCAACCACATTCAAACCCTCAAAAATCCTTTGTAAGTGTACATGCTGTACAGCATGATTGGGCATTGTACATTCCAATGTATTCACTATTGCACAATGATAAACTTTTGAAATAGTAATCCACATAATTAAACAAGTAACAGAAAAAAAATATATATTGTTATTAGCTTAACTGTAACCTTAGACGGCCTATCATGATTTATCAAATAAGTTCCTTAAACATAGATTTGTTTTTAGGATTAGAAATAGGCATAATTGGACCTTCTTTTTATGCATCACTAATAATTTGGGACATCAATTTTGTCAAAGCCCCTTTAGACCCAAGAAATCCTGACACCGATGATTATATACGTCACAAGGGACAAGACAGGGAACGAATACAACAATATATTTGCTGTCAAAAGATAGTAATTAACAACTGAATAGCTTCTGTTAGTCTTTTTAAATGAATGCTTTAACATTTGAAGAATGTGTTAGTCAAGGGCATTGTATTGGGTCAGCAGAATCTGCATACTAAGTGCATGTTTTTCAAAGCTTATAACTGCTTATAAGTAGTGGGTCCCAAATAAATGAGTGTTTAAAAAGTAGGTTAAAGTTGTGGATCCTATGAAATATGTTAATAAAAATTGAGTTTGACCGACTTATGAGCAGTTATAAGCTTTGACGAACATGCACTAAGTTAATAAATATATAGATATATATTAAAGGGAATAAGATAAACATAGATCCAGCATGAAGGCACATAAATCAATTTCTTAATATCTAAATAGCATAAAGCATAATTACATATGCAATTCAGCCCTACTATTGTTCAGTAAGTGCTTGCTTACCCAATGGGAAACACTTGATATCAAGGGATTGATATGCATCTCTTTTTCATTTCAATTTTTCGTAATTCTTGTAGCTGATGAGCTATTTCATGGATTAACTGTAATCCATCATTTCCATTTTGGAGCATATTAAAAGCATGCTTGAGGAAATCACAGTCAGTCTCAAGTGCTTCCAACCGGTCACGAAGGTCTGCGATTCCTTTCTCAAGTGTACCCAAGTTTATTTGATCTCTATTCATGGACAATTTACCCCCATCACTATCCATAGTAGCATTTGTTTCAGAAACAAAATGATTGTCCTCGACTAAATCACTAGGTATGTCCTGTGAAGGACTTCTATTTGATCCTGATACATCTTTTTGCAATGGCAAACTGCTGTTCTCATTATGTTCATCTAACAGAGTCTTCCCATTGACAGATAAGTTTTCCAGATCATCAACTTTACTTGTAAAATTTTCAGAGTTCACGCCATTTGGCATGCCCTTTGATATCCCATTAGAGGCAGATTGATGAAGTTTTTCCTCCAACTTCTTCAAACATTCCGAAATGTAGTGTTTTTCATCCTCGAAGTTTAATATTGAAATATTCACAAGTTCAGATTTCCAGATACCTTTTAAAATTTCAGTAGATATTGAATCACTAGGACCCGCAGGACTATTCTCATCATGATTCTCAATAATTAAGTTTTTTCTCTCCAATTTAAGCGGATCTTTGGCCATTGACTCATTTAGGAAATTATTTGTGTATAACTCTAACTCTGCTTCCAAATCTTGCACTTCTTTCTCCTTTTCAGCTAGGAGTTCATTAGCCTTTTCCAGTGCTTCCATATCATGCTCTGCTTGTTCCTCCATCATTCTTAAGTATTGCAAGGCTTCCATATGAAGTGCAGCCTTCTCCTCTTGCAATCTTGTAATCATGGCCATTGCCTCATTTGCAGCAATGGCAGCCGCATTTCTTTCTTCCTCCAACTCTTTATATAACGCATTCATGCAACTCCTGTCATACTCAACCTGTCGTTTTAGGCGATCAACAGAACTTTCACCTTCAATCTCACTTACACTGATTCCATCCAACGATTCACAGCCAGAATCATGTCTCTCCAGCGAGGCTGAAACAAGAAGAGCACGTGGACTAGTATCTTCACATTTTGGAATTGCACCGAGATGACTATGAGCTCTCGGACTCTTAGTTTTTGACGTTAGACCCATGTCAGAACTGGATACCTGTTGTGGGGACTTTGTATCCTCCTCAATTTTAGTGCAATCACTGACAACAATTGGCCCCATACCTTCATCATTGGGAGATGATGCATCAGTAAGATTCATAACAAAAACATGCTCCAAAGAGCTTTCCATTTCAGCTGCTATATGTCTGGCCACAGATGCATTTTCTTCGTAACTGGTTCCTTCAACATCTGCCACTGTAAACCCAGTTCATTGAGTAAGAAATAAATCACATAAACAACAATAAAGCGAGAATTTTATGATTGTGAACTCATGAACTTAATCCTCTGGATGAGTTAAAAACACTGCTGATTACTGAATGTTGAGCAAAATTTCAAATTGATCACTAAACTTTATGTTGTTAAAATTTGATCTCTGGATTTAATTTGCTCAAGTTGGTCGTGAACTTTAATATTTGTTACAATTTGTTTCATTCCATTCATGTCCATTAATTAGACTGGCAGAAAAGCTGATGTAGCAGTCTAATTGGCAAATAACTAGACTTTGATGTACATTTTCCATTAGTCAAACTAATGGACATGGACATAGCGACCAACTTCAAACAAAGTCTATGTCGAGTGACCAATGTAAAATTTCCCTAGAAGTTCAGTGACTACCACTATATTTAGCCCTCTGAGGGTGCATAGAGGCAATATCAATAAGCACATCGGGGAGGGACTGCAGCTTACAGTTTCGTTGTTCTGTTCCAATATTGGCAGAGGAAGGAACATTGTTCAGTGAAAGAAGCTCAGATAGTAGGGAGAGGGCAGGCATATGAGAGAGAGAAGGATTGCTTTTGTTTGTCTCTATTGTTGCATCAAAAGGAACTCCTTCAACAGCTGGTGGTTGGAATCCATCATCAAATGATATAAGCTCTGCCATTTGAGATAAATTAGGCTTTGAATGAGATTGGTCCAACTTAAGCTCATCTGATGTCACAGATATCTTATTCTTGAGCTCTCTTACATCACACAGAACTGATTGATCAAGAAGTGAAGTTATCGGTTCAGAAGCTTGATGGCCCTGTTTTTCTGATAACACATTTTCAGTTAGTGTTCTAGGTACAGAACTCTTTGTATTATCATTTATTCCATGAAGGCCAGATTTTCCATAGTCATCATCATCAGAGAGAGGGACCTCCGAATCAGAATCAGAAGTGATATTCAACTTTGTATACCCTACATGAGACATCGAGTCAACACTCTTGTTCCCGACAGGCTGATTTTTCACTTGTCCCGCAAATTTATCTCTTAACCTCTTGAAGCTATCCCGACGGCTGAATCGACTACGACCAGGTACACGAGGCAGAGGGGGCTTGACATTGGCTTTAGACGCCCCAAAACCTACTGAGGTTAGTTCGTGTAATCTTTCAGCATTCAATTTTGCTTTCCATGTCTTGTTACAACAGGAACAAGCCCTTTGACCAGAAGAAACAAGCCGTATATTCTTATTCAACATTAAATTCTGTAGAACGGATCTCTCAACATCCACCAATAATTTACCCACCAACAACCTATATGATTCAGAATTAGATTTGTTCTCCATGGCAATTGGCATTAGACATTCTTCACACATCCCATTAATATCAGCAAGTTTATTGTGAACAGAACAAGATACCAAGGATGAAATCTCTCCTATGTGATCGCTGCATAATACGCTCCAGTAACATCTAGGTTTCTTATCCAGGATAACAATATCAGGCCTTGAGCATAACAAACAAGGTATTTTCAGTTCACAATAATTAGCAAATTTTGTAAGCAAATACGAAAATGCTGCATCCACAAACAGCAGAAACATCAAGAACCATTCACAAGCTGCAGACGACAACAGTGTCATAGAACCCAGAGGTTTCCCTTTTTTATCATGTGTAATCTCAGCAGCCATTGCAACTCAAATCATTAACTTCAGAAATTACATGCAGTTAAACAACCCATCGAATACTTCTCGATCGCTCATTGACACGAAAGTTCGAAAACCTTTCTCTTTGAAATCAGCATTCTCGTATCCTTGCAAACACTGTGAAAATTAAGAATCAATAAAAACTATTAAAGCCAAAAAAAAGGAAAAAAGGAAAAAATGGTTGAAATGCATCAAGACAAGAGAAGTTCAAGCAAACCCAACCGGGAAAGAATTTGAGTTCATAATTCAAGAAATAAAACACAACCCATTTCTCTCTACAAGTATAAAAGCAATCTACATTGAACAAAATTGTGCCACATTTCACCATTTAAAGACAAGCCCAATAGTTAAGAAAGAATTTCAAAAAGCCAAACCCTAAATTACATTTAATCCATCATATATAAAGATTGAAGAAATTGATTGAAATAGGATAGGATCGAATATTCCAAATATGAATTAAAACGACATGGCAAAACAAAAACATGAAATTAAAAGAATGCAATATGTATTCATGCAGTGTTATGAACATAAAATAAGAGAATTATTGAAAGAGGGTACCTGGATTTTTTATGCAAGGACATGAAATGGGGATCAAACGATGTTGATCAGCCATGATATAGAAAAATCACCAGAAATGGGTGTAAAAGGAAATGGCATAAAATTATAAAAGAGATCCTTGTCGTGGATAATAATGATTGACCGTTGAAACCAACTGAATATTTTAAAATTTTCCCAGCTGTCTATTATAACAAAAGTCGGTGCTTCCTATATTACGCCCATGCTTGGTTCCATTTTCATTTTTTTTATTTTTTTTTTCAAATTTATTTTTAACCACAAATTTCATGAAACTCCACAATTTTTCAAATACATATTTTATCTTTTTTTTTTAAAATCCAAATCTATGAAAAATATATATTTTTAACTAAACCAAACAGAGCTTACACGTACAAATTACATGGCATATAATGCTTACTCACGCTTGTAAATTAGGATCAGACATTCCAATCGTGAAGTGTCAAGACACAATCAGTATTTTGAAAAACGTAAAGCGTAATTAAACGAAAAGACCAAGCTTCGTATCTAGATGAAATTTTAAACGAACGTTTTAAAACATTGGGTGCGACACGTCTCGAGAATGATCGTTTGTATATTTTTCTTCTTTAAACAAGGATATCATTAATATCTAGTACCCCCTCTTCTTTTTACGTGTACCGATCGATCTTTTCCAAAAGAAATATTAGAATGTAAGTGCATTGCACTCCTTTTGTACAACATACAAGAGAACACGTGTAGTTATAATAATTATTCAAAAGTATGTGTCACAATCTATAAGTTGACACATTCCAACCCTTAAAAAAGCAAAGAAAAAGAGTCAAGAAGTGAATTTTATTTTGAATGGTGCAAAATTTTGACAACTTAGAAAGCAAACAACATCAATGCTCTGCCTCCATGACCATCATCGTGTCTTGCATTAAAATAAGGAAAATTTTCTGTCAAAGTCCACAACTTATTAAATTTGTGCAAACACATCCTCAATTATTTGGTTTTAGGCTCTTTGTTTATTTGTAGAGAGGTTTCCATATTTTAGGGGGTGGATGGCGTTATGAGGACAAATAAATATCAAAATCAAATTCAGTCGTCCACTGGTCTTATTCAAAGTAGTGAGCTTGATCAGTTTATTTACGTAAATTTTGATACAGCCTGTGTATTTGTGATGAATTTGCAAATCTGCAACTGCAAGGTAAAATTTCTAACTTTGGCGATGCAATAATCAATAATTGAAGTTCTTTTTATGCTAGGTATGAAAATTAATGAATTGAGGGATATTATTTATATTTATGGATTGGTGGATATGATTAATAGTGGAACTAACTTATTTAAAGGTTCATCATCAATATGAGGTACATAAAGATAATGTTAAAATTACAAGTGTTGAGCCACTTCTAGAGTTGGAGCTAATTCTGAATTTCAAATTTAATGCCACTGACTCCCTTTCTTGATCAATCCAACTGTCTTCACCAAAAAAAATTAATTAGGGTTTAAAGTCCATTGAATCTTCTTATTACAAATGCTAGTAGTATACATGGCTTATTGGCACAAAATGTCTTTACGTTTGACCTTTAGTGTGTAAAGCATCTATACGTTTTAGTTTTTTGCATTTTTGCTCATGTTTCCACTTCTCATTGTGAAAAATGTTCTTTTCATCCATTTTTATCCAAATTCTCGATTAAAAATGTAAAATGACAAATATACCATCATATTTAAATAAGACAAAAAATAACGAATTAATTGCAACCATACCCCCCAAACCTTTTAAAAAGTACAAATGAATCTCAAATAAATTATTTAAAAATTCGAAAAAAAATGGCTCTCTCACTCTCACTCTCACTCCCTCTCCACCACGACAACCACCACCATGGAGCCGCCACCAATTCCTCCCAAATCTACTGTGTTACCGCCATCAAAACCATCAGAATTTCACCCCTCCATAGGCGTCAATACTCTTTCAATCAATCACAACCAAACAATTGCACAAACAGGCACAAATTCGACTCAGAATCAGCCCCAAATATGCCAAGAACCGCACGGCCAAGTTTGACTCCAAAACCATATTCAATTGGTAAATAATTTGGATCAATTAAACACTTAACCATTGAAGTATGAACCTGATTTGAAATGCCCATACTTGAATTGGTAGAATGGAGCATAGTGGGCCTATGGATTGCACGTGGCAGGCTGTTCGAGGTGGGTGTGCAATTTGTGGCCGAAATTAGATCAATTTGACTATTAATTGATGCATTTAAATTCACACTCGCTGTCGTGTGATGTTGATGAGGAATCACATGTGGCAAATTATGTGAATTAACACCCTCAAACCCATGAATTGAACGAGGTACATTGGCCACGTTTTCTGCGCATAACAAGAGGGAATTATAAAGCATATCAGGCTATCAGCATCATATTGTACTTTTTTTTTTTTAATGTTTCTCCATGAGTATGGGCAACTAGATTAGGTGGGTTGACGGGCAATATTGGACGACCATGGATATTGACGGAATGGCCGGAATTGGTGAAAAAGTTGTGCGGTTCTTGTTGCATTTGTGGCTAACTTTGAGTCGAATTTGTGGTTGTTTGTGTAATTTTTGGTTTTGATGGATTGAGAGTGTTAGTACCAGTAGAGGGGTAAAATTTCGATGGTTTTAGCTGCGGCAACATGGTGGATTTTGGAGGAATTGGTGGCGGCCCGGTGATGGTAGAGGAGGAGGAGAGGGAGAGAGAGAACCAATTTTTTTAAAAAAAAAAAATTTAATAATTTATTTGAGATTCATTTGCATTTTTCAAAAAGGTTTGAGTATGGTCGCAATTAATTATTTATTTATTTATTATTTAAATACGATGGTATATTTGCCATTTTACATTTTTTTAATAAAGAAATTGAATAAAAATTGACGAAAATAACGTTTTCCACAATGAAACGTGGAGGTATGGGTAAAAATGCAAAAAATTGAAACGTGTGGACATTTTGCACGCTAAAGGCCAAAACGTAGGAACATTTTGTGCCAATAAACCTATTATGCACAAATATAACTTTTGACACAAGCAAGAGTTGGTATTTGTCTTTGGAGTTTTTTGTGAGAGTGCCATATGTGTTACTTCAAATCTTTTATTCACCGTATCAATTTGTAATGTCAGAACAACTAACAGTTTGTGCGATTAAGCTATGTGGTCTAAGGGTGAGGGTATATGTCAAAATTTCTCTAGATTTTCTAGTTTGGGGTGCACAAATGGTAATGTATTCACATCGAGTAATTGTCAATAAGAGTGCACTTGAAAGTTGGATCTTGGTCAACCACATAATCTAGAACATGTTTGGCCAAAAAAAAGTTGATTTCTTATATATTAGTGTCCTATGAAATTCATAAATCCAACTTATAAACTAGATAAGTTGAGAATTTCCCGCAAATCGGGCTTATAAGCTAGGCTTATGAATTTTGGTGTTGGACCTTAAGAAAACAACTTGAATATCAATCACAAGGTAAGGTACTACAACCTCAATCTATACAATTATCATATTCTTAAGTAAAACCAACATTTAACTCAAATTCATATCAACTTTGTATATACTTACCACAAGTGTAAAAAAGAGAACCCACATGGGCGAGGTGAAGCAAATTTCAACTTACTGCCGGCTATATGCCCCATAAAGCACAAGGAGCAACCTTACTAATGCTGCAAGAGAGAAGACTCTTTTGAGATAGGGTAGGATGCAATTACTAGGGGTGAGCCTATCAGTGAGCTAAAATTGAGAGAAACACCACCACATTTATTAAATGGATGGCGCTGATATTTGAATAGTATTTTTGATTGCTTTAATATCATGTTGAGACCATAAAGCATAAAGCATAAGCGACCATAGACAGCCTCTGTTGTGAATTTTAAGCTAACATAGAAAAAGGAAAAAGTTCAAAAATCAGCAAAATTCTCTAATGAGGCAAGAGTCATCAGAGACCAAATCTCTGAAAGATTTTTTTGATTATACGAGGTTAAATTAATAGTAGAATGATGAGCTGTATTTTTGCTTCCTCGCCATCTATTCTTGAATGATGATTAGTGCACAACAAAGCCAAAATGTTAATGCAACAAGTACTTCTTTGCAACTTTGCAAAGTCCCTTCTGATTAGTGTGACTTGACGAAGTCCTAGGCCTATGTCAGCAGACACCAGTTAGCGAACTAGAAGATAATCTACAAGTCTTCTACACCAATCAGCATAAGCTCTGAAAGGAAGTATACTCCAGCATTTTATGTGACAACAATGTCAATGCAATCCCAACTTAGCAGAGCAACAGATGAAGAAATTTTACAGAACTAGAAGCACTTGCCTAAATCCATCTTCAATGTGGTTTACTGCAAAGTATATGTCTTTGCGAATAGATTCTTGCATTGATAAATTAAAGAAAGATTGAATATATGAGAATTGTTTATTTAATCTTTCTTTAAGAAAACGAGGAAAAGAATACACAACCAGAAAGTATAATCATGCAAGTCGAAAATTTTCGGAGAGTACAGATTCAAAAGGAACATGTCCAGCTCTTACGAGTTAGAAAATCGCATACAAACATGTTGCATAAAGATAAACCGAAGTTTTTATCTTGCATCAGTCCAACAACTGCTAAGAGAAAGAAAAGGGTTGAAGTAACAGATTAAATGTCGTAGAGAATGAGAAAATCTTCCAAAAGTCATAGTTAAGTAATTACATAAAATCTGCCAAAAATTCTCTTTGTTACTATCATTATCATTAGTCTGCTGACAGAATTTCACACTCAGTATTCATGCATGCCAAAATATCTTCTTGTTTTCCTGAAGATGGAAAACTGCAAATTCACAACAAATATAATATTACATTTTCTCAAAATATATTTTTCTCTCTCTTCTTTTCAATCACACATTATTCAATAAAATAATATTATGCGCAAATTCAAAACTTTACTTTATTTTTTAACCACATATTCTCCATCAATCACTATTCAAAAATGCATTTTTTTCAAAATAATGGGGCTCAAACAAGCTCTAAATGTATAAGCAATATTCTAACTTATATAACCATCACTCTTACCTAGCTCCAGTCATTGCATATTTAGAATGCCTCGATCCTCCATGTGATCAAGAAGTAAACTGGAAAGATCTTTAACTTTGTGCAACATTTAGTCAAGACTAATCAAAATGTCCATTGCATAAAACTTGTGTCCCAAAACCAACAGAAATAATGAAGCAGGTTTATCTAGCCAAAAAATAAGCATTGCTAAAAAAGAAAAGTATAAATTCCATCCCTCGTGCAATAAGCAACTTGAATATGTATACAGCCACATATGAAAGGAAACAGTAATTAAATGGAAAATCGCACAAGTTTCCCATACATTTGCCAATAAACAGAAGAAGTATTGGAAGTTAATCTAGACTTGTGTGAACTTGAAAACAGTCCACATTAATGACCTACCATTGAATCTAGAATCAGGATCATGAATCAATTTATTAATAGAATTCAAGAATATAATGTATAAGATCTAAAATGCACGCACGTTATAATGCTTATAATACAATCATAAATGGGGGACTTAACTTCGTATTCCAGTGCGAAGAAAATGTGAAAAAAGAATGACTCAAATAAGAAGCAATTGTAACATACAACTGTAAGAATGAATGCCATTGTAAGAAAAAGCAAATTGATAAAGAGATGCACTTTGTTCAAGAATTTAACTTTTTCCTTGTAATATTCTTGTGAGCCAGAGTGCTTGATTTATTTGTGAATCCACATCTACTCCAACAAGAAGAAAGACGTGACGTTCTTTACTTTTCACAGACTAGCTTTTTTCATTACAAATATTGGTTTGAATACCACAAGAGATCCCTTATATTTAATGTTGACTATGTGACCTTGTTACACCCGCTCCACAACTTGCCCTCGTGGCCATTACTGTCCAAATTCAATTTCAACCAAGGCAACCGGAGAAAAACAAGTCGAACACGTTACATAAGCTAAGCCACAAACCCAGTTGAAAAGTATGATTAATAAATGATCTTATCTCCATTTATTGAAAAGTAGAAGATCAAATACCCAAATAATCAAAGAAGAATTTGTAAAACTTGGATCAATTTCAAAAGGCACAAGGCAAATATAGCTCAAGAAGTGAAAATATAAGTATTGAGCTGGAGGCTTTGGATACGTGTCTTTCATCCATTAAAATGTCGACATATGCATATGTTTAATGGGTGGATAAAGCAATTTTTTAGTAGAAAATGTGACAATGATGAAAAGAAAGTTCAAAGTAAAAACGTTTAAGTTGCAGGATATGCAGGGACAATCTGACTTCTCAAGTCGTTTTCTAATATCAATCTATCTTTGAGAAATATAAATAAAATGCACATAAAATGGTGTTTCGCATTGTTTGGATTCTAGTATTTGAAATCAGAAAGTAAATGCAAACAACAACATAGCACTGAAAGCAGTAAAGCGATGGAGAGGTGATAAACAAGTAAAGAACCAGGAAAGAGGAAGCAATGGCAAATGAAACAGAAGATTTTTTACATTTTTTTCCTTTCAAGTTACAAAAAAACATGTTTAAATGACGGGAATCAAAGCATAATTTTGAAGGAAAAAATAACTCACAAGGAAATCTTTCCAAGTTACATTGTACAAGATCATGTGATACGAGAACAAGTAGATGACCACTTCAGTTTTTTAGACAGTTAATCAGTACATGTCTTTCTTTCATGTGTAGAGTCGTAGACTAATTTAATCAACATTTCCTGGTTATCCTAGAATGGTCGTGCTCATTTGAACTTGATGTGACCAATTTAATTAAAAAAATCCTGCTTATCCTAGTATGGTCCTGCTCATTTGTACTTGATAGTCCGTGCTTCTGAAGTCGGGAGGCTAGTGATAACTTTCGAGCTCTTTCTCCTACACTTGCAATGATTCCAAATTAGGTTTACCAGATTGTTTAACAAGAATGACCAAACCAAAAAGCAGAAAATTAGTAAGGAAAAAAATCTAAACTTCCTCAGAGAGAGAAAAATTTAATGTTTTAAGAGCAAATCCATCTCCACTATTTCTTATGCACAACCAGATAACACCCAACTGAAAGAGCCCTCTAACTGTCTCACTGAAGTTCCAAAAAGTTACAAATGACAGAAATCAAATACGTTGTAAGATGCCGTATAAAATGCGAAAATAATACTATTATCAAATAATGCGTACTGACCGTGACACTTTTTGAGCTCATGATAATCTTTAACAGCTGCAAGCAATGTTGGACATGTTTGGCAGTGTGTTGAAGAATTGAATTGAAGTAGATACACCCATATTTTAAGTCATTTATCTTCTTTAATACCGACCTAATATTCAGTCCGCCAAACATTGCATAAATTTATGTACCTAATTTGCCAAAGGCAAGATTATACTGTACGCAATCCATTTTAACGTACACTGTTCACTTCATTCGTAATACACGAAAGAATCCTAAAAAGCGCTGGATGCAAAATATATGTAACAAAGAAACAAGCCAAAGGCAAGATTATAAAGTACGCAATCCCTTTTAACGTACACAGTTCACTTCATTCGTAAAACACTAAAGAATCCTAAAATGCGCTGGATGCAAAATATATGTAACAAAGAAACATGAATAAAATTGAAGAACGTCTCCGCTAAACAAAAGATTATAAGAACGCCTAATCATTCTTAAAATCCCTAAAAAATTTAACCAACCATAGGATATCACAATGGACAATGAAAGAATCAAGCGTAGATAGACCATTAAAATGAGTGCCTGTATGAACCTCTTTAATTTATTTTATGGTTTGTTCCAGGACCATTTTCAATCATACATTTCCACAATAAAATATTAAACACATATACCAAAAACTTTTCCCCGGTTTTTACCCACACATTCTCCTAAAAATCATTATTCAAAACTCGTTTTTGCTACCAAAATGGTTGTCAATAATCTTCTTACCTCACAAGGAAATGAAAGCATAAATATGAAGGAAACGCATGAGGAAATCTTTCCAAGTACATTGCACACAATCATTTGATAAGAGAATAGGCAGATGAAAACTCTCAAGTTTTTTGAGTGCACAACTTTCTTCCATAATACCATAAACCAATCTAATCGAGATTTCCCAGTTATCATAGAATGCTCTTGCGCATTTGTGAAATTCATGGTTTTCAGAAAGAGATAGTACAGAAGTACTTAATAGTTTGTGTTTTTGAAGTCGGGTGCTATGATAACTGCCAAGGTCTTTCTCCAACACTTCCAATGACCACAAATTCGGTTGTGAAAAAAAGAGCAAATGGCAAACGATCTAAAATTTTCTCCCAGAGGTAACAATTTATGATTATTAAAGTAGTGTAACCACTCGCCCATTTAGATGAAACCCATAAGCAGGCAGATTGTTATAGCAACAAAACATCTCTACTATTTTCGATTATGCACAACCAGATAACATCTAACTATAAGTACCCTCACTGTCCCACAGAAGTTCCAACAGATTGCCAAATAAAATGCAAAAATAATAGTATTACCAAATATTGTGTATTAACCATGTCTCTTTTCAGGCTCGGGCTCTGCAAACTATCTACATAGACGCACAAATCAGTGCCGGGCATGTCTGGCAGTGCTGTGAAGCATTGAATTGAAGTAGAAACATTCAGAAGTTGAACTCATTTACCAATTTTAACTGCTGCAAACAATCTACATAAAGATACACAAATCAGTAGAAACATTGAATTGCAGCTGCATCCATAATTTCAACTCTCATCTTCTTTGATACTGACCGCTACTATTCAATCTGCCATAAATGTACGAACCGAATTCCGCATCACATTGGCGTAAAATTGACGCTTCTAACCAATTTAGGCACCTAATTGGCCATACTAAAGAATCCCTTTTTTAACATACAGATTCATTTGTAAAACACAGTGGAAGATGTAGTAAAGAACACAAATCAAATTGAAGAAAATCTCTGCTGAACACAAGATTATAAGAACGCTTGATCATTCATAAAATTCAAAACCCTAAAACAGTAGAAACGGAGAAATAAAGTAAATTTAAAAAAGTAGATTATGTAGTTCTGTTGGCATAAAAACTAGTTACGCACAACNTAGGGCCCCGCTCACTTCTTTCCCTTCTTTGCAGCTACTTTCTTTACGGGAGACTTGACGCTCTTCGGCTTCACGCTCCTAGCCGAGGTCCTCTTAGCTGCTGGCACAGCCTTCTTGGGAGCCGCCGCCGCCTTCTTCTTCCCAGGAGTAGTTCTTGTCGAGGTCCTTGCCACCTTAGCCGGTGGCTTCTTCTCCGTTTTTGGCTTCGATACTGCCTTTGTCTTGGCAGCCGCTGCAACAGCTTTAGGTTTTGCAGCAGGCTTAGCCTTAGCACTTGGCTTCGGCTTAGCAGCTGACTTTGTCTTTGCTTTTGAAGGGGCGGGTTTCTTTTCCTTGGTGGTTTTTACAGAAGCAGCCTTCGGCTTGGCGACTGGAATGGTCTTCTTCTTAACCGGTGCAGAGGTAGCTGGCTTCGGAGACGATGAACGAGCCGACGGGAGCTTGTACGAACCCTTCACTTTGACCAGCTTTCCAGAAGCCACGAGCTTCCTCAATTGAACCAGCAAAAGCCTCTTGAAATTCGACGGGAGATTCGTCTGCTTCTCCTCAATGAACTTTGTAATTGCGTACTGACTAGATCCAGTTTTCTCCTTCAGCGTGACAATCGCATCTTCAATCATCTGGAATACAAAATTAAGCAAAAAAAAAAAACAGATCTAAAATTAAAAACAAACAAACAAACGAAAACTCCAATACAAAATGCCAATAAAGAGAACAAACAGCCAAATACCTCGAGATAAGGAGGATTCCGCTTTCGTGGGGCAGCAGTAGCTTTTTTAGGCTTGGATTCCTTTTTGGTGGTGGTTTTCTTAGACTTGGCTGTCTCGGCCGGAGGCTTTTCTCCGCTCGCATGTTCGTCGACGACCGGTTCAGCCACAACCTCCATAGGGACAACAGGTTCTTCAGTGGTCATAATGCTAGTTTGAAATCAAAAAACTAGAGCTAGAGCGATAATCAAAATCTAACGGAATTTTTTCGAGGGCTTAAGCGATAATCAATGGGAAGAAAATGGCAGGTTTAAATAGTGAGCGTTAAGGGGCTGCTGAAAACTGATTGGCTAAAGGCCATTGAGACGGATCGGAACTTTGGCTAAAGTTTAAACTTACGCCGTTGGATGGGATTTAATCTACGGTCTGTAATGTTAGATGATGAGACTTGGATTGGGATGCAGAGTAGTAGCTGTTTTGATTCCCTAGAGGTGTGTTTTTGTGCTTGATTTAACTGTGAATAAATTGATCTAGATTTAATGGACATTGGTGAGGTTTTTTTCATTTTGTAGGGAATTTCATAAGCTTTCTGAGGAGTATTCGCGAGAGTCGTGAAGATTTTTCATTTGGGAGATATTTGATTTGGAAGCAAATATGGTCGAGCCGACGGTACTCTTGGAGCATATTGCGGTTTTAGAGCATTTTATGATAATGCTTGAAGCAAATAACTGGTTTTAACGATGGATTTGATAGTACTTTAACAAACGAGTGCGTAGAAACAAGAATCGTGCAAAATGGATCGTATTTGAACATAAAATAAAAGTTCAAATTGGGTCGAAGATGAACATTTTATACAGTTGGGGTATTAGGATACAATTTCTTACCAAAAATTGGTTTCCTCTAAAACCCACCTTATATTACATAATTACAACATGTTATGGTTCGTTTAAAGTGTACAATGCAACATTATAAATTGAGGACAAAGATAATGTTTGTGTTACACATTTAAATCTTGTCACGTATAGTCCTTGCTTAACATACAATGTCATGAAAATGGCACAACTATGGAACGTGTTGTCACGTGTGGGCCGCCTATGGAAAGATTGGTAAACATTGTCCACTTAATTTTCTATCATTTTCCTTTATCGGAGGAAGTGTTCGTTTGATTTATCATAAATTATCGCCACTCTTTTTCTACATCGTTTCTCGTACATGTTGCCCATAATTAGTGTTATGCACATTTCTATTGGAGATACTCTTTTCTCCATTCCCTATTTCGCTTGCCAAATCTACAAATAATTCATATTATTGCATTGGAGATACTCTAATATCATTCGATCTTCCATTGATGCCAGATGCATGAATGACAATCTCAAACATGACCCCTCAACCGTTCACCTTTATGAAGCATATTTGTGCAGTAGCTCATATTTGGATCAAATTCCGAAAACAAATCAACTATGAAACTCTTGAAGTGATGATCTTTTCATCGTTCTTACTACCAAATGTGCTCGCGTTATTGTTTTTCTTATATAAAGATCCACTAATATTGGCATCTTTTATAATTAATTTGTTCAATTACCTTAGACTCAACTTCCTGAGAGTGTTGAGAATTCTCCTTTTCCATTTTCTCGTTTTGTGTAGAAGTTTCCGTTGAGTCAAACTGAAAACATTTAGGAAAATATAACGAGATAATTGCATCTTTGGTCATCGATCTTATGACTGTAGCAAATCAGTCTTCTATTTTTAGAGAAAAGTGAGTTAATCTCAATGTTTCATTATAATTGCACAATTAGTCTTCAATAATAACAATCGTCCAAATGTTGTCAATTTTGCCAAAAAAAAAACCTATAAATGTGACCAGGGGTGGACTGGGGGAGGTCCTGGGGGTCACGTGACCCCCCAACTTTTGAAGTTTTTCTTTTATATATAAAGTTATATTTGGCATCGATTGAAATCTAAATTTTAATCTAAATCAAAGTTAACAATTATTTTTAATAATATATTTCATGGAATCCATAACTATTTAACTTTTATCAAAATTTACTAAAAATTTGATTTTAATCTCCATCAAATAGTGTCAAATCACAATAAATTTTAATTTTTCTCATTTTCTTTCGCCTTTTAACAAAATCTTAACTC